ACAATTTATTACTATATTCCATATTGTTATATTATATAATTAGGGTTTAAGATAGAATATGTATTTTAATTTTCAGAATTATTAAATAATAAAAATAGGGTAATCATTTGGGTAAAGTAAGTCCTCTTTTTTACTTTCATTTGCTCTACTAAATTTCATACAACATAGTAATTTTAATTTTAAGTAATTAGTCAATTAATTGCTAAATGAAATTCTCACCTATCAATTTAAAGTACACAAGGATGGTCCAATATGCTTTTAAAAAAGAGTAAGTGAACCACTTAAAACTTTAGCAACTTGGTACCTCCTAATTTTCTCTCATTGAAATTTCACACACTTTAGACTAGGACGTGTTAAGATGAATAATTAATGTTAACTTATAATTATTTAAATATGTAATATATATATATATATATATATATATATAAATTACCAAAATTGACAATAGAAACAATTATCACCATAATCGGGCTCTAAATGTGTTAAAGCACTAACTTAGTTGTAATGCATACGCAATTATTATATCTATATATCTATATATATATGTGTGTGTATATGTATTATAATGTTTATTAGTTTAGTGATCTTGGAATATTCCTCTAATGAGTTTGGATTAAAACCAATCGGTAAGTTTATGGTGGTGCAGAAGCAAAAACATTATCTAATGGGTTAGTTCTTATGACTTGGCCAAAATAGAAATTAATTATTGCATTATTGGGATTATTATATTTTGCTTTTGTATTCTTATCTTATTAATTTTCATGGTAAAATTTATTTCTTCTTTCATTCTTCGAAAGAGGAAATTTTTTTTTTAATTTTTTGTTAAAAAAGCTAATAGTAAAATGAGAATTCTACTATATTTTCAAGGTATATTAATATATCCATAGTGAAAATTGTATTTTATTATTTATGTTGCAATTACAATACAAACTCTACATTAATATATTCATGCGATGCATAAAATTGTTTAAAATATTATATTTTTAAAAAATATACATATAATAAATTATATTTAAAGTAGTAAGAATTACTAGGTTTTAGACTGGTCATGTGAATGAGATCAATTTAAAATTAAAAATACGGATTAATAATTACTAAATTTAAAATTGAAAAGTACAAAGATTAATATTTTTAGTAACTATTATCATATACTATAAAATAAATTCTTTTTTAAAAATAGCAATAATTATGACATAATATTTAATAAAACATAACATGAAAAACAATATATCATAATTTGTTATTTAATAACTTAATTTAATTGGATTATTTTTAATAATTACTTATTATATATAAGATAAGATAGAGCAATCAAGTAAACTTTATTATAATTTTAAATCTAAGATAAAATAAGAGTAACTAACTAATTATTTATTTATATTTTGTATTTCCATAAATTATATATAGTACTTGAAATTTCTTAACTAATTTTTATTTTTTAAATTTAACAGGAGATGCAAATGTTATATATACATTTTATTACTCTTAAAATACGAAGGCTTTTGTTATTTTCATTTTATACAATATATACCTTAGACAATCATGTAATAACTAATTCCATTTAAACTAACATAATGACTATAATCATATTAATTAGAATAGCTCAAGAAATATAAATAGATTTAAAAATTAATTAGACCAATAAATATATGATAATATTATTAACATAATATACCCAATTTTATACTAGTTACTTTTGACTACAAAGAAATTCAGCTATAATAACAAAAAGAAAAATACTACTATATGATGAATTTTCGTTAATATAACTCTAAGGGAGTTAGACCAAAGCTTCTTTCGTTTCCTCGTGAGTTTCTTTCAAACAGTTCTGAGTGATTATTGGCTTAGATGGTGGATGGACCGGGTTCATAGGGAACCCTACTGTGAACGTTGTCTCATACCGGACGAGATATGGAGACTTGGTCATTTGGTGTTCATACCGGACAAGGTATGGAGACGGCCCGTTTCACTCTCATACCGGACGGGGTATGGGAACGATTCTGCAATTAAGATTGTTAAGAAAAATGGTTCACGTGTAGTGAGGACACCCCTATAGATCCCCATGAATACTAGTAGGCTGGTGAAACGAGAAACGGTGATGATTAGTTATTGTTAATGAATACGAATTTATGATATATTTTATATTACTGATTACGTATGAAATTGTGATCTGTATGATATTATTGATTCTATAATTTGTTTCCATAAATTCTCCAATGGTAAGGAAAAAAAGATAAATGATTTTATTTTAAATAAATGTATTGGTTTAAATCTACTGCTTCATTGGTTGTTTTGATTTTCTACAAGTTTTTACTTCTGTGACGGTGATATAATGTGATGTTCTTACTGGGGTAGTGTAGTTCACCCCTTATTTAACAATTTCAGATCAGGAGTACCCGGTTCCCGAGCCCGATCCGCAAGAAAGTTATGAGTAGATACTAGATACTTTGTAGTCTCCTTTATTTTCTTACATTTCTCGTATTTTTTTCAGAGAATTTGTTCCGTAATGTTTGTTAGTACTTTTGAATTATCGTGTAAAGGATGTTAATCTTAACCTTTATTTCGTTTCCGCACTCAAATTATTATATGCATTTCCTTTTAAATTTTCCGGCTCCGTTACATTCCTCCTCTTAATGATATCTTCTAAAAAGAAAAATATCATTTCTAAATCCCATAGAAGTACTAAAGAAAATAATTAGTTTAATAATTAATAATGTTAATTGGAATTAGAAGGATAATTTAATCCGAGAATAAATTTTATAACCACTTGAACTGATGTAATTATCATAATTAATTAACTCTGAAGTTTCACAGAAGATTATTTCAATGAAATTGACATTTGCTTGGGATCATCTATCCTACAACTTTAATAATATAGCACCTGGAAGTCTTAATTGTCTCCTCATTTGCGGTAAAGATATTAATGAATGAACAGGCGTCATGGGTAATACTATTTCAGATACTAACATATGCAAATAGTTTATGAACTAAAATATCTTAGTACAAATAAATTTTATCACGGCCATTAATTACTATAATATAAATAATATCAATTAAATTAAGTATTAATTAGAAGTAGCATACAATATTTATTTGGTGAAGAAGACAAACACACTGTCTTTTCATAATAAAAGAGAGGTTAATAACTCAATAAATCTATATATATATATATATATATATATCACTTTCAATCAGTACGATCAAAGTGCAACATTATATGTATAGTAGTTTGATTAATTGCGAGCTACCTTCTTATAGATCATGAGTAGTGTTGAATTAGATAAGAAAAAAAGTTAAAAGGGAAAAAGAATTTGAACCCATCAAGACAAGAATATAATTAGTATAAAGTATTTAAGATTGAAAAATTCCTAATATTAAAAATTAATCGAAGAAAAGATATATTAATTAGTTGGAAAGGTACTTAATATTCTATCAATTTGTAATTAATTTGTAACGAAAATATAATAATTTTTTATATTATCAAAAAAAATATATAAATAAATCTAATTATGAAGATAATTTAGATTGAATGATATTATAAGTTAATTTGAATCTTACTCATATTTCATCTAAGAAAATTGTTTAAACTAGTTAATAAAAAATTAATTAGATATTAATAATGAATGTAGACAAATTATGAATGGACCACCAAATAAAAAGTTGTCATACACGTAAAGATTTCATAATAAAAGGACCACAACATGGAAGATCATGTATATATATATATATGAATAAGTTAAACAAAAGAATGTGAGGCAATGTTTGAAAAGACTTTATGAGAAGCAATGTCTCCATGCACCATCCTTTTCTAGATATACATATATATATATATATGTATATGATTTTGATTAACCATGTGATTAATTTCTAATATTTGTAATAAACTAATAGAGTTTTACGTGGAAATTTGAGAGTTTAGTTAATTAATTAACTAATTAATGATAATTTTTTTCAGAAACAATAACAAATATTTGATTGGAATACTTGTAGCAAGCATTAAAATGGAAGTGACATAAAGTTCAGCAACTAAAACGTCTCTTTGCAGATCAATACATGCATCAATGCACATTGCAGGAAGCTTACACAGCATGTGTTTGAATGGATAAATATTAAATCTAGACATACCAGGTTCATGAATCTATTGATATATATATATATATATTGTATACACCTCCTTTTGATCAGAATATACATGTTTGTATATATATTTATAATTAGGCATGCATGCATGCATGCAAATATTGGCGTTATATTTTATTAATTAAGAGCGCCGTGTTTATATATGAGTGTGTTTTATAAATTAACTATATGTATACATAAGTTATTTTACAAGCTTCACAAACTTAATTAATTATAAATTAAGCTTGTGGATGCACTAAAAATAATGTACCTTGCTGTTGATTGTACAGACAACATATGTAGAGAGTCCATGCAAAGACATAAAAACACAAGACTTTTTTTTTTTTTTTTATAAGAACAGAAAAACTTGAATTATACAAAGACATGAAAAGACATAAAAACACAGAAGTCTAACCACATAAACATCGAAATTATAATTTTTCCATGTTAGTGTTTATTATTAGTTATAATATATAACAATTGAATTCCTGTAATTCTTAATTAACTGTACGTATATACGGTTCATTCCATTAATGGTACTGCTTCTTCTCCATATTCATTCAATCAAGATGATATTGAAATCAAATCAATAAAGATGTTAATTGATAATTTATTATACCAAATTGGTCTTCAAGATCTCAGAATAGAAAATTCCAAAATTTTTAGCAGAATTTGTATGTTTATATATATATAATTAACAAGAATCACATCAGTCATCAGCATATATTTGCCTTGTACTTTGCATTTTTAAGGTTCCGAATCTTTCATGATCATATAGATATGTATAGCAAAATGTAATGCGCGTGTATGTATATATACATACATATATATACATATATATGTAGTATTTGACTGAAAAATTCTGGACAAGAGCCAGCAAAGATCTATCCACTTTTTTCTGCTAAAATTTTAATATTCATATCAAACATTCAATATGTGATGATCATCATCATTATCATCAATCATGAAAATGAAGAACACAGTTGAAAAATTACAAACAGCTATAGCAGTATCAATTAAATTAAAACAATTAATCAAAGCCTTAAAGACAAGTCAAGATGGCTTAACTCCTCCTGAACATTTTCAGTTCTATACGATCCCTTTGACCAAGACTCTCCCGAACCATAATCCATCATCTCTCTCCTCATGCCGCTGTAGTTCATCACCATGTCACCGCCAAACCTCCCACTATGGCGATGGTGATATTGGCTTTGTCTAATTCCATGGCTGGAGCTGGAGTCGTTGATGCAGCTATGTGCTGGGGATCGTGAATTCGATACGCCATGAGACCTTAGAGATGAATTTAGCTCTCTGCTTTTCTTGGCCAGTGTTCTTTCGAGCTTGTGGGCATTTTGATGGCCTCCTAGAGCCTGCGAGCTGTAGAACTTTCTTTGACAGTAGTTGCAGGAGAAAATTCTGGCCTCGGCTGGACTATGTGGTGATGAGGACGATGAAGATGAGGGTTCAAGAACAAGCTCTAGGTTTAGCTGGTTGTTGGGTAGGCTGAGATGAAGAGAGGTGTTAGGTTGAAAATCCATGGAGATCAGAAAGAACTATGCTAATATATATATATATATATATAAGTAGTTGAAAAAAGAGATGGGCTTAATGAAACTTGTATAAAGAAGAGGGTTGTACTTAATGTACAATGCGAGTAGTAAAATGAGAGAGAAGGGTTTGGAAGAAGAAGAGAAGAAAATATATGTAGAGATGTGAATGTAGTTTGAGAGAACTTGTAAAGCATTATATCAGGTGCAATGGTTAAGGGTCCTGCAACCACAAATAGTACAAGATAAGTGAGTGAGAGAGAGAGAGAGAGAGAAGAGAGAGAGAGACAAGTAGCTGCAAATATCAGTGGGGAATCCAAGTGTTGTCGCCTCCATTAATTGCACCATTCAAATCACTTGTCGGTCCATGCAAGAAAATTCTTTATGGGATTAATTTTCTTGTATATAATTTTTGAAATATTATTATTAATTTCTTGTTAATGAAGCAAATTAATTAATTAATTAAGTGGGTCCATGACTATTCGTTCTTTGTTTTCTTTTCCCAGTCACCTTCATCATCGGCTAATCATTTTGCCAATCTAAGTAATAAATAATAAACAAGATAAACCATCTTGACTGGACTAAACATGCAACAAGATAATAACTCATTACATGCTCCCCACAAAAATTAAAACTCATAAATCCATCCTATGCCACTCTACCAAGCTAGGTAAGATTTATAGTCCACCTACAGTGAACCCGCTCGAGGCCGCATATTGTGGTCTGAATGGCCAGAGACATCAAATCCAATTACATATATACTATATATACCTCTATACATATAATATATATTGGTTTCCTTCATTTTCAACTTACCCATATTCAACTACGTACTGATTTAATTAGTTACCTCCAAACACACCACTACCATGCATATCAACTTATTGAACTAATAATTTTACTGTTTGAAAATATTATTTTCTACCGCTTCTATATACATAGATATATGAATATATATATATATGATAGTGTTGATTTTTTGGATAAGTATATGGGTAGAGTTTACTTACATCAAATCCCCATATGCTTCCTTTCTTTCTCTGTCTTCCTAAAATTTTGAGATTAGTTAACTGAGACAGGCACATGGGGTATGGGGAGATTGAAAACAGTAGATAAAAAATAAAAAGCAAACATATAAAATAATATAATCCAGTGCAGGATAACACAATCATAGTAATCATCATATATATTAGACATGATTGTGGGATCATAATCTTGCAGGTCGGCTATGATTGCGCTGAGCCTTGTCTGTTAATCACAGACATAACACAAACGGAGAAACTACCTTGTGTTCATTTCCTGCGCACACATATACACAGATATATGTAGTTTACTGTATATTATTAATAATTAGTCAAGTCATCAGATTCCGGTCTACTAGGAACATTAATTCCCTTTATATATAATTCAAAGCCTAACCAATCAATATTACTTGTTATCTTATTCCTAAAACTGTTATTATACTATAATCGATCTATATATATATACATATATGAGTACTAATGTATTTCCTGGTTCCTTCGATAGGTCATCAATAACTGAGAAAATCATATACATATATATATATATATATTATTTTTTTAAAAACTACTAATTTGTCAAAGTACTGAAGCAGAATCAACAAGAGATTAGAGAGAGAGACTCACATGGGAAAGTGTGAGCTAGGTTTATGTGAGAAACAGTATATGTACACGCACAGAGAGAGAGAGAGAGAGAGAGAGAGAGAGCTGGTACCTCTGGTTTTCTCTACCTCTTTCGTTAAGAATTAAATTGAAAAATTATATAAGCCTACTAATAATAT